AACAATAGCAATGAGCAGCCCTACTGCCTGGCCTGTGTTCTCTCATTACCATTTCCCACTAAAAGAAATCAGAGCTCCTTAGAGAAAAAATTGATCTATTTAAATTGGATCTAAAGCAGGAAATGTACAACATAATCCTGAAATGTCTTGTCATTCCAAAATATAAGGAAGCTTTTAGAGACCCCTTGGATCAGACCAAAAGAAGTTAAAAATCAATTTGAAGAGGCTCCCAGTGACCAAGGTGGTATGATTTGAGCATTAATACTCAATGACAAAATTTTTGTCAAATGCATAAGTTCATCATCACAATACCTCTCTTAGACACAAACATACATTCACACACCCCCTCATTTGTCAACTTTGGAGGATTCTAAGAAACTGTTTATTATCTCTTGCCAGCACAGCACCACGAACACTCTTCTAAAGGTGGAAAATACGTTTCCAAGCATTCTTTCTATATTAGTTTGCTAGAGCTTTCATAGAAAATAGGACAGACTAGGTGGCTTAAAAAAACAGAAATATATTTTGCCACAGTTCTGAAGGTTGGAAGTCCAAAAATGAGGTAGGTATCTCTCCTTGTCTTGCAAATAATCACCTTCTTTCTGTTCTCACGTGGCTTTTCTTCTGTGTACATGCAATCTCTGGCATCTCTTCCTCTTCTTATAAGGACATTAATCCTATGAGATTAGAGCCCCACTCTTATGACCTTACTTAATCTTAATTGTCTCTTTAAAGGCCCTATCTCCAAATAAGGTCACATTATGAGGTAATAGTAGTTAGAGCTTCAGCATATGAATTGGGGGAGACACAATTCATCCATCCACCTTCCTAGGTTAGTCTTTTGCCAAAGGAAGGAATGAGATTTGGAAGTAGTAAGTGAAACAACCCCAAACGTACACCATTTCCTCTAAGGCATTTGTCAGTTCTTAAGTGGTGCATGGAGTGAGAGGAGAAGGCAGTACTAGAAGCCAAGAAAACAAGCAAAAAGCATCTGCTGAGATGCTAAAAAGCTAAACAGAAATTCGGTCAGTCTCATGGTACAGGAGTTGGGCCAGTCAGGGAGGTGAGGCCATTATAAATGTCTGAGGATTTTAGTTGAAATCCCCCCCAAAAAAGAGCTATTCCCTAGAGGTAAAGACAAACAAAAAATATGTGTGCCTCAAAAAGCCTAAAATTATATACAGCAATTGCTGCTTGCATTAAGGTGATCTGCCTATATCCTGTCTGCCTGCCGGAAGACTATTAAATTCACCCTGGAGGAAGATAAAATCTTCTAGAGCCCCATTTTCTTCAGACTATTTTTCATGGGTAATGTCTGGTATTCAAATTAATACGCATGCCAGGAAACTGGACCAAATGACTAAGAGGCAAGAGAGAAAGGAAAAAGAAACAACAACACATAGCGGAAACAGATCATAGGTAATCACAATACTGAAATTATCAGACATGGATTTTAAAATACATACAATTAATGTGTTCAAGAAAAAGATGAAAAGTTGGATCATTCCTCCAGTGATCTAAAATATATAGAAAAGAATCAAATGGAAATTCTAGAGGCAAAATAATGCAATACTAAAATTAAGAATTAAATAGATGAGTATAGCAGCAGATTAGGCAAACCAGAGAGGATTAAGCAGCTGGAAGGTGGTCATTAGAAAATATCTAGATTGAAGTACATACAGATAATAAGGGTGGAAAATAAAAAAGGGTAAGGCTCAAATGGAATATAGCAAAAATGTCTAAATTATGTGATTCGGTTCTAAGAAGAAGTGAAGAGATAATGGAGCAGAAGGAATATGTGAAAAAAAACACTGGCCAAAGATTATCTGAAATTTATAAAAAATATAAAGCCACAGATTCAAGAATCTCTTAAACCCAAAACAAGATAAATACAAAGAAAATCACACCTCAGCACCTCATAATAACAAAAAGAAAATCTTAAAAGCTGTCAGAGAAAAAAGACGCATGACCTTCTAAGAGCAGCAATAAGACTGACACCTGAATTTTTAATAGAAACAATGGAAGCCACCAGACAAGAGAATGGCATGTTTACAGTGTAGAATTCTCTACCTACCAAAATCATCTTTCAGAGATTAGGTAAAACAAGGATTTTGTGACAAACAAAAACAGACGGAATTTGTTCCAAAAAAGAGTCTACAAAAAAATATACACTAAAGAGAATTTATCAGGCAGGAGAGAAATAATCCCAAATGGAAGCAAACAAATGTAAAAATGGAGGAATGTGAGTAAATTAAATGAATATCCCCTTTTTAATAATAATAGTAATATCTTATTCAAATAAATATCGAATTAAAGGAAAACGGCAACAATAGCACAAAAGTGGAAAAGGATATAAATAGAAAAAAGTGTTATGAAGCCCTTGCATTTTCTGAAAAGTTGTACGGTTACTAACTTAAGGTAGACTCCATTAAGGATCCATTATAGGTAGCCACTGAGAGAAGAATAAAAGAATATGTAAATAAAAAGCTAATAAAAATAGAAATGGAATTTAAAAGTACTAGACTGATACAAAAGAAGACAAGGAGTAAAAAGGAGGAAGAAAAAGGTAGGATAAAAAGGAAAGTAATTGTAAAATGGTATATTTAAATCCATATTAGGAAATGTATTAGGAAATACATTAAATGTAGCTAGACTATATTATCCAAATAAAACAACTAAAATATACATTATATATTCTTATAGTCTATATATATTCATATACATATGTATTAGTAGAATATATATCATATTCCTGTAAGATTTTATATATATATGTATATATATTATATACATATAAGTACACAGAAATGTTGAAAGGAAAAGGATAGAAAAAGACATATCATGCAAACTCTAATAAAAAGGTGGCATTGCATTACTAAGATCAGTCAATGAAAAATTTAAGGCAAGAAATATTACTAGGAATGAAGGAGACATTTATGAGAAAATTTTAAATTCATCAAGATATAAGATATAATCATTCAACAAGAAGATACAAGATATGAATTTGTATGCACCTGTTATCATAGCGATATTATATGCCTGTGAAAAACAGCAAGCTGTTTTATATATGTAAAACAATGTGAATGAGTCTCATAGATATCATGCTGGTGGAAGAATCCAGCACAAAAGATTATATATTGTATAATCCCATTGAAATAAAGTTCAGAAGCAGCAAAACAACTCTATGGTGAGGCAAGTCTGATGTCGATTACCTTTGTGGGTCCAGCAGATACTGACTAGTAAAGGGCTCAGGGGAGACTTGTAGGGGGGTGCTGGTGGTGGTCTATATTTTGCTCTAGTTGATGTATGGGTGAGGTCACTTTTTAAATATTCATGGGATATACACTTATGTTTTTTGTACTTTATAGGAATATATTATGTTTCTATATTTTTAATTTTTAAAAAGAAAAAAAATATCTCCTTGAGAAATTCTAATGTGCCTCAGGTTTGAGAACCACAGACTCTGCGATCCTTGACAGTGGGCTGGTGTTTGTGCTTCTTCAACCAATTCCCAACTGGACTAATTGCAACCTTAATGACTCATGGCACTTTGGATAACCTAAGTAACACGGGGCATAGCCATACTGTTGAAGACCCCTCACCTAAACATAGAATCCCTCCCTTCTCCGACCCAGGGAGTTTTACAAATTCCACTCTACCTGTAGAATCCTTCCTCTAGAAAATAATAGAATATACCAAACATATGCCCCATTACATCAATTCCCCTTAAATAAGCTTCATCTCTTTTCTTCCACAAAAGGCGAAAACTGGAGTTCTAATACCTATATGTGCTAAACCTCTACAAAGTTTTTCTTGTCCAAAGCTTTACAACTAAAAATCTCACTTCCTTTTCTCCCATCCACTTGGACTCCTTTTCTTGCTCCTGATCACAGACCCTGATTCCTAGTCACTCACAGCACTTTGGGAATAGGCAGACAGCCTGATTTTAACACAAAGTGATGGTAAGAATCTCTTCTTCTCACCACAGATATTATAGTATTCATCTGGGGAGCAAAGGATTTTGGTTATTATATATAGAAAGCTAGGAAAATGCCTCCTTGAGAACAGTTTAATAGCCATTGTGCTTATTTTGCAAATGTGGGACGCTTTGCAAAACTTTAAATGGCTTGGACTGGTGCAGCGATTGGACAGATCTGGCCAATCTTCAAAGACGTGCCTTCTCTTTCAATCTTAAGCAAGAAATTCCAGCAGAGCTGAACCAGTTTCTTACAGTGATATGATTAATGCACTTATTGATGTATATGTTTGTTGAAGGTGCCTCTGGATTTTCTCTGTCTGTGCTTGAGAACAGGGAAATTTCCTGGAAAAAAATGTGCTTTGTGTTTCTGCTCAGGTTTATTTATTTATTTATTTGTTTTACATTATGATAAATTGCACTGTGTTTGGGGAAAGTGAAATGGTACATGTTAAAATAAAAGAACAACAGAGTGAAGAACACAATATGGAAAGCAGCTGGAGCATCTTAAGATAAAAGGGGGAAATAGAAATGAAAAAGAGTTTTGAAAAGAATTAAATTCCTCGTCATCATCTAAACAAACAAAACTGTATCTTCTAGGATCCACTGGGAGGGATGAATGTTTGATAACACTCATGTTCAAAGCAGTTTGCTGTGATGCGTAGGTATCCAACCTCCACCACAAAGGAGTGTTGTGGTCCTGAGTAAATTATTTTGTCTTTCTGTACCTCAGCTTCCAAATTTGCAAAAACAGAATGATAAACATAGAAATAACCCACACAGAGGGCTTCCATGTGCCAACGTTCTAAGCACTTTACATATATTAGTTCATTTAATCATCACAAAGCAGTGAATGCTATGATTATCATCTCTACTTTATAGATGAGGAAACCGAGGCACAGAGGCACTAACTGGCATGCCCAGGGCCACACAGCTAGTGGGTGGCAGAGATGGAATCAGACCTAGGCTTTTGGCTTGGTGTCCGTGCTCTCAAAAACATCAAATTCTACTGCTTCTCTCTTAGGTTTGAGCACATCGCTTTTCCCAGTGTCTTCATCAGCATGAAGTCCAAACACTACAACGTGGAGTAGATGAGCTTTCACAGTGGAGCCTAATCCTGCCTCTACAGCCTTCCCTCTCCCGACCTCTGGCCACTGCAGCACCTCACCACTGGCCACACAAAGGACACTCATCTTTTGTTCCCTGCATATCACCTGTGCCCTTTCATGCCTTGGGCTCTGCTCTTGTTCCTCCTTCTGCCTGCAGTGCTCGCCTACCACTGACCGCTTCTGATCTGCTTTACGGACTCCTGTCCTTCTTTCAACGAAGTCCCTTAAAGCCTATATTTCCTCTAGGAGTTTCCTTGATTTCCCTGGACACAGGTGAGTCACCCACTTTCCATGTTCCAATACAACTGAATGTGCGCTTCGGCCGTAGTGTTTTTCACTTGGTATCACGTTATTTGATGTATGAATCTCTCTCTCCTGCCAGACCATGGTTCAGACGATGGGTCTCTCTTCTCTACCAGTCTAAGGTATTAGTGGTACTAGAGCACTGTGTTGAGAAGGATTCTGAGGCCATATTTGAGTTCAATAGGAGAATGTTAAATGCAGACTTCATAAAGGCGGAGACCTTACCTGACTTTTACGTCGTAGTATCTCTAGTGCCTGGCTCAATCTGAGTACACAGTAGACACTCAATATTTGTATGAATGAGTAATAAATTAACAATGTCTACTATGATAAGGGAAGTGAAAGTGGCGACATTCATGCCAGATATTTTACATTCCTCTAATAGTCACTGAACTCTTCAAGGGCAAAGGCAACATCTTATTTATCTTAGTATCTTTGGCGCCTCATTTAGTCCATTGAACAAAATATTATTGCTATATAAATACATTGTTGAAGGAAGCGCTTTAAAGCTGAGTCTATGCTGATGTGAGGCATGGAAGAGGAAAACCAAGCCACGTGACTCATTCTTGCTTCTGTTCTCTAATGAGCCAAATGGACCCCTGGAGAAAGTAATGCTTTCTGTGGCTGAAGATGTGTTCATTGGTGTGTGACTGTTTTGCCCCGCCCCCCTCCCGCCGCGTTGTGAAATAACAGTAGGTCTGCCTGAGGGTTGGATTGAAGAGGGAGATGGCAGCTGCCAGAGGGGCTGGGAGTTTGTGAGACACACTTGGCATTTATTGTTTTCTCCTCCAATCCTCAGGAATACCTTCATCTCCCTCACTTTTTACTCTCGTGCCTCCTCTCACAGCTCTCTGTTAGTCAGCCTGGCGGGTCCGGTGTTTGTCCCAGCAAAAAGCAAATCTCTCTAAGGCCCTCTCTACGTTATTGGGATCTGAAAAATTGTGAATTTGCTTAATTATGTTTTGAAACTCCTTTCTCCAAGTTGTTAAATGACACGGAGAGGGATTTTAGTCCTAAAAAAGATTACTCCATTTTAGAATGAGCCAAGGCCAGGTGGCAAGTTTCCATTCAAGATGCCATCCTGACAAACCTGTCTCCTTCATAAGGATGCACTGTTTATTCATCAGTTAACCTTGGATCCCACTCTTTGGAAGGCACCAGAAAGTCTCAGTGAAAAAGGCAGAAGACCCAAAGGGAGGGATGACAAAGGAGTCTGGCCAATGAAACAACACCTTAGCAGCACCAAGGGGCCAAGTACACATCGCTGTCTCCAAAAGGTGCTAGTGATGTAATTGGTGAAACAAACAAACCTGCACTCTCTGTACAGCTTCTATTTTCAAACCTGCTCAAACAGCTCTTCTGAGAAGTTATGAACAATACAAGTTTTGCTCTTCACAGAAAAAAAAATGGAGTGTGACACCTTTTTTGTTTTAATTGACCTGAATTGGAATAAATTAACTTAAAAATAATTTGGTGACATTCTTTGAGATGTACTGGGAATGTTTGAAGTGTCATAAAACCAAAGATAGCTTGGGGAGGGTGAGTGTCTCCTCTTCTCTGATCTCCCTCTGGGGCTTAGAATGAACTAACTAGGAGATTTAAAGCAGAGCTGTCCAATAGAATTTTCTGTGATGAAGGCCATGCTCTACATTTGCACTATCCAATATGGTAGCCACTGGCCACATATAGCTACTGCGTGTTTGAAATGTAGCTAGTGCGACCTTATTTTACTCTTTTTTTCAAAGTGAGTTTTACAACCTATCCAGGTGAATTTTCTTCATTCTCCGTAACATACACATTTATCTAAAACTCAAAACCATTATTCAAGCTGAGTCTGATACATAAATTCCAAAACCCTCAGGATTTGGGTGTCAGGAGCTATACCTGAGCAAGAGAAGCCACATAGCACCCCCTACTTTTTTTGTTTGTTTGGTTGGGTTTTTGTTAATTTTTATTGGAGTCTAGTTGCTTTACACTGTTGTGTTAGTTTCTTCTGTACAGCAAAGTGAATCAGCTATACGTATACATATATCCTCTCTTTTTTGGATTTCCTTCCCACTTAGGTCACCGCAGAGCTTTGAGTAGAGTTCCCTGTGCCATACAGTAGGTTCTCATTAGTTATCTATTTTATACACAGTAGTGTATATATGCCAATCCCAATCTCACAGTTCATCCCACCCCTCCCTTTCCCCCCTTGGTATCCATACGTTTGTTCTCTATGTCTATGTCTCTATTTCTGCTTTCCAAATAAGTTCATCTGTATCACTTTTCTACATTCCACATATAAGTGGTATCATATAATATTTGTTTTTCTCTTTCTGACTTACTTCACTCTGTATGACATGGTCTAGGTCCATCCACATATCTGCAAATGGCACAATTTTGTTTCTTTTTATGGCTGAGTAGTATTCCATTGTATATCTGCACCACATCTTCTTTATCCATTCCTCTGTTGATGGAAGTTTAGGTTGCTTCCGTGTCCTGGCTATTGTAAACAGTGCTGCAATGAACATATTCCCACCTACTTTTAACTGTTTGCCTAGAATATCCTGAACCCCTGATCCCTGCTATCCACCTCCTCAAGATCAAATGTTACTCAAAGATCTTTCCTAATCCTCACCAGCTTCACTGCTCAGACTTGCTCAGCCTCTTATTTTACTATGATTACTGTCCCTCCTCCACCATGACCCACCTTCCCTACCTTGGGTCCCTGGAAGTAGCTCTGAAAATAACCTTACCCACGTTCCTCATTTTATGGAAGGGAGTACTAAGGCACACATAGAGTTATTGATTCGCATCAACTCTCATAGAGAGTTAACCTTCCCATTTAAATCTTACCCCTTTACTCAAGGTTCATCTCTATTACCTGTCTTCCCTACAAAGCCTTCTCTTATTGTTTTTGTAACCACTGATAATCCCTCTATGTATTCCTCTAGCACAATGCCAAAAACATCCATCTGGGCACAAAGTCTGGCATTATTCCACTACTCTTTTCTTAACTAGAATGTAGAAATCCAAAAAATAGGGACTGTTCCTTTAACTATCTTCCCACATGATGCCATGTATCAGAATATGTGTGCTCATAATGCCATTGAAAGCTAAAAATGACAGGGCTTATCTTGACTCCTAAGAGAATATTATGTACCCTAAAGGGAAAAAGAGTAGGGTAATCACATCAATTCTCCTCCTCTATGATAAAGTGTAGAAGAAAAATTTTCCCTTAAATTCCCTTTATGTTTAAATGGCCACATTTGATAGACTATGCCCAAGCACATACTTAAAATTATTTCCAACATAAGTCAGTCAATTCAATTTGGCAAGTATTTATTAAGTTCAAAGACCTTATACTGTAGTTTAAAGGACAATACTTTTGCACATGAAGGAGACTGAGATTAATATGATTGAATATAATTTAATTTAAATGTTTATTGAATACCCACCCTGAGCCAACCAATGTGTAGCTCACAGCTCTTCAAGGTTGGTGGCAGCAAAAGTTACTAAGGATCTCTTTACCAACATGGAGAGAATTAAATTAGGCTTTATATGACAGTAGAAAATAGCAAAGATGACAGTAGGAAGAGGAAGAAAAGGAGTTGCCAGTTCCAGGAATTAGCTAAACAGTGGTGTTAATGTGGAAATGCATGGGATCTACATAGACTTTGACCTCAGAATTGAGGTTACTTACTGAGAAGAGGTGGGAATATCACTATTTAAGAGGCAGAGCCATCCAGCCCTGATGGGGACATGAGACTGAACTTGACTGCTCAGGCAATGGAGAAGCACACTAAATTTCTGAACAGCAGAAGGACATGTGGAGGTGTCAGGGGCATATGGTATGGGGTAGAAGAAGTGAACTGATGTATGCTCTGATTATGGTTGTACAGTGGCAAGGAAGAACAAGATATTAATCTATTTTAAGAATAATTGTCAGAATAATTTAAGGATATATTGCTTTATGGGTTTGCAGAGTTTTAAGGGAGGAATGAAAGATGTTTCCAAGTTTGGAGGCTGGTAGAATGGAAGGATATTCTGCTGATGAAGAGAGAAAGTGAAGAGTCAGTGTGGTAAGGATAAGGCATACTGAGTGTGACATGTTTATAGACTTACAGGTAGAGGTGCTAAGTTAATTTCAGTACAGGAGTCTGGAACTAGAATTAAGGTGAGGATGAGGACAGCAGCTTCCATGTCAGGAGAGACCTCCTCTCTCCTCCCAACCACATATTTATTTTTTCTTATTAGGCTACCTAATGTGGAAGTCTAGGGCAGGGCCAATGTTAGAACATTGTTGGATTGAGGGCACTATCTCCAGGGATGTCCAAAGTTTACTTTACCTAAGGCTTTATAGGTGGTTCAAAGCCACAGTCTTAGCTAGCTGCTCTATGAATGGCCCATAAGCAGGTGGCCTCAGTTTGAGCTGAGAACTGGACCTTGGAAGAAAAAGAGTTTTTGTCTCATGTACACGTCAAGGGTTGGAGAGGGACACTTGTTCACTCCTGTTGCTTTCTCATGTGAATTCTAATAAAGTGTTCATGTTTCCCAGTTCTTAGTTATCTGAGACTAGAAAGCACATGGATTACCAACTATAGTCTCACTTGAGCCCTCTCCACCAGAATTCCTGGAGCTCCACACTTCCACTGCCCACCTCCACATCTCCCCTCCCATCTCCAACTAGAGTGTTAAGATGACTTGTCCCTTTCTTCTTGGCTGTTAGTGAGGCCTTCCTCCAACAGGGGGAAAAAAAGGTATCTCTGTGCCTCTGCCTTATAACATCTCCTCAGCCATAATATTGTCACTCCAAAACCAAGGCATGTGCCTCTGATGTTTTCTATATCGGTATCTTTACAGTTCTTTCCTGGTCTGTGGAATTCCTTGCATGCAGACTATTCAGATCACCTAGCTTTGCCATTACTCCAAGCAATGAGAGCTGACTTTCTGGGAAACTCTGGCCATGGTTGATTCCTCGCTGGTGGCACTTCCAACTTGTCACAGTCCTTTTTGACCTTCCTGCTTCTCCCAAGAGAAGCCAGTGTGGCCATCAAGACACCCTCGTGAAATTCAAACAGCTATTTGTAGAGCAATCGTTTTGTGAAAATTAAGTACAGATGCTTTTGTCTTTGTTGGAGGGAGATGGAGTGGAGAGTACTAGCTTCATAGTTGCCTTGAATCTGTGACATTTATGTTTCTGTAAAGTCATCTTTATCCCTGAAACCTCTGGAAGATTCATTATACACTTCACAGATTTTATCAGGAAGTATATTTGATTCTGACCCTGTTACCCTTATACAGAGTATTCCCAACATGTACTAGATCAAGTCAAATCCCCCTGCACATCTTAGGAGATCACTCATCTGCTACTATTTTTCTAGTCTTCTCTTCCTTGGTTCCTTCCCACTCTCATCGTTTAAACCCACCACACCAACTATGTTAATGTGCGTGTAGGTTTCTGATCAAGCAATGGTATTTCCATGTGGTTGTGTTCTCAAGTATGGTTCTCTCTGCCTGAAAATACCCTCCCCTCTATAATCAGCGTTCCAGTATAATGCTGAACCCTCCAACAACTGGCAGGTTTCTCCCAAGAGATCTTGTCAAGGTTCCCCTTGCCAAGTTCAGCCAAGGGGAAATGTTTCCTTCTGGCAGAGCAGCCCCAGCACTGCACATACAACTAGACATGTGAAGTGATGCTCTCTCGAGTCAGTTCCTGGACCCCCAACCTGGGGACACTGGCGTCCTGCTGGGCTCAAGCGCTTGTGGGGAGTTCTGATGAATCTGACCACATGTGTATAAAGCTGAGAGAGGCTGCATCTCAGATCAAAGCAAAATGAAGCAGTTAGGCACACATCTTCTACATGGCCCAGTAAGCTTAAAGGGTGAGGAGGAAAAGAAGAATCCAGGTTTAATCGAATAAGATAGAAGTCAGAGAAACAAAATGATCCTGGAGGCTAAAAGCACAGTCAGAATCAGCACCCCAAGAAAATCCCCGTAACTGTGGGCAGAGATGAGACCTGTGGGCTTCAAGACATAGAAAATACCTGAGTTTGATGGACTGGATTAGAGAGATGCAAGTCAAATAGTTCGTTAAGCAGCTGTGATTTTATTTCAAACTCAGTGACTCAACATGCACAGTGATTATCTTCTTTTACGTCCAGCTGATTCCCTAGAGTATGTTATTTCCCAGGACTATGATGCCTCTCTTCAAACTTGTCTGGTTGGAATCCCAAAGAAAAGTCACAATGTCCTTTTTGAAAATGGAGTTTAACATTACATCTTAATTTAACACTTAAACTCCAAAGATGTCGTTTCCTTAAATATTATGATATAGGCACCTTTTTTTTATTCTGGACTGTAAGGGAAAACATTTTTGGAATTCGGGTAGACCAGCCAACCCTCATATTAAAGATTAAAGAAACGTAAGTTTAAAGGAATGTGAGCATAAGGGAAATGTAAATTAAGCCCCTCAGCTAGGGCCACAGGAGTGTTTGCCTTCTGGTGCTGGCTCAGTTCTCAAAGAAGCTAAGCATGCTTTGTTTCAGTATTATGATGTAACTTTGCCATGGGTAAAACAATCTTTGATGTCATCTCACAGTACTGAAGATGTCCTTGGGAGCAAATTCAGGGGCCTCTGTGGAAGGGTCGCTGAGGAATGAAATGACAATTGTCCATAATTTGATTCTGCTGAATGGTAACACTTCTGGTAGATTGGGGAGATTTGGCTTAACTAGTGTTAATTCTTCTCAGGATTGGTATGTTGAATTGGCCGAAGGTGATAATCTTCCCCTCAGTATGATCTTGGTATAATTGTCCCAGGGTTTATGTGTACTTATAATTGGGCCAGAGTTTGTACTGAAGATTAAATATTGAAATAGAGTGAGGAACAAAGTCCATTGGTGATGTTTTATTATCACTCCTCCAGTTACTGCTTTGTAAAACATTGTCGGTAAGCCAGATAAAACAGAGCCAGCTTGGTGATGTGATGTATGAAACAGAATTTAGAAAATAATTCAATAAAGTCCACTCAGAATAATATTAAATTTAAATTTTACTGTAAAACTATCATCTCCTGCAAAGCATTCACATGTCATAAATACTTATGGGAGGCTCACTGAAAACTGAGAATAGAGGGTAACTAGGGGAATTGGTGAACAAAATCTTAGAAGCCCAGATCTCATCTGATATCTAGGACACCTGTTCTTCTCAACTTCATAATCCAAGGAAAGTTTAGGAACTTGTAGGTTCCTTACCTTGTTTGGTTCCTAGATGACACTAGTGATTTAGATGTTCCAATTTTAACACATGACTAGTAAAGATTTTCTGTCACTAGAATGTTGACATTCTGTTGAGCCCTTCTCTTCACTAACTTGTTGGATCTAATTATGTAGGCCTTGTGTAATTTCCGCCCCCGCCTTTTAAATAACATTTCCTTGATGCCCTCAAAACCATAAGCCAAGCAGTTTATTTGAAGCCCCCATCTCTCTCCGGCCCCTTATGTCAGTTGCTTCATGAACAAAGGGCAGGCTGGTGGGTCTTAAGCTAATACTTAATTTAAGGAACAAGAAATCTTTAAGTATGATTCTGATATGCTTGACCACTGTTACACTTCCTTATCACCTTGAGAAGAAATCTGTCTGGAAAACAATGTAATAACCTATCAATCTGAATTGACCTTTCCCCAACCTCCGACTCTGTATGTCATGGGTGAAGCCGTATTGAGCAGCTTATGGATGTCTTTATTGAACTTGCTCTTTAACAAGATGATGGTTAGGATTGGTGGAAACAGTTATATGACAGATTAATAACAATTTTGGGCAGTAAGAAACAGCGCTGTCTTCTGCCCCAGGTTCTTTTTAACTTGTATCTTAATGATTGGACCTTACTTTTAAGTTGCAATTGAGAATAAGTTATGTATTCTTTTCTGTTCTCAAGAATGTATACATTCTTTTCTGTTCTCTGATTTATTTATTATGATGGAGTACAAGTGAATTCCATTCATAATTTGCATTGCAATCTGATTATTGTCAAAAAGAATGGCTTATGATGACAGCCTTAAACCGAAATCATTTGGTTTGGCAGACATCCTCCAAGATTCAATAGATGTATATTCATTTTTCTAATGGAAGGTTAAATTATTTACTTCTACCCATAGTACATTTTTGCAAGTATTTACCCTGAAGGGTTTACCAGGAGGTGCAGTGCTTAACTTTAAACTTTCTATTTCGTAGGCAAAAATTCCTGGCAGAATGCCTGTTGCTCAATACATAGCCACATAGCCATGATGAAGATGATGACAATGGTGACAGCCACAGTGACATCAGTGCCATTTGGATATTTCAGGTGCTGCCCTCCAAAGAGTAAAAAATCCATCCTATAAAAGGTACAATATGAAGTATCAATATTAACCCTCACCCCAAAAGTTTAACAAATGTCTTTTAGATCATACAATGTTAACTTAAATTCCAAGCCATCTAACAGAAATGGCCACTGTTTAGTTGAATTCATTTTTGAATGGCTTATAGAATTATTCTCCACAATCTATCAGACAGACTTGTCAGTGTTTGACAGCAACTGAAAATTTGGCTCCTTAGATGTTTCCTAGAGGGATCTAATTAAAGAATAAGGTGTCTTTTTCAATCGAGAACACAGAATGCCTGGCCTAGATCTGGACAGTAGGAGCAGCAGGAGACTGCAGGCCAGTAGAGTCTCCTGAGGGGGAGCTGGGAGCAGGGCCTGGAATACCTCACTGAGGGCTGCTGTCTTCTGAGCAGTGGAGAGACACAATGAAAACAGTGGGAAGTGTGGTGGAAGCTCTCTCTTTGCTATGCTCTTTGAATAAGTCACAGAGATAACAGAACTGAAGCAGCTTTATCAGTGCAATTTTTCATGAAGTGGTTAATTAGCTTTATTGACTATTACTGGATATAAATTCCCCTTTCGGAGCACTCCTGGAAATGTCTAAATTATAAGACAAGCATCATTATCATAAAATTATATTAAGTTTAATTAACAGAAATCACTTTTTAACATATAGGTCAAACACTAAGTGCCTTGGAGTTATTGAGAGACACAAGATTTCCTAGCCGACTTCCACATTTACATCTTCATTCACTGTTCGTATTGTGGATGTTATACAGAAACTCTAATCATAAAAACACCAAAAATGTGCATAACCTATTCAGAGCTAGACCTTTTATATGCATTATTGGATTTAAACCCCATATTAATTCTATGACATAGGTTCTATCATTAGCTATATATTGAAAATAAGAAGAGGCGCAAGAGGTTAAGTAACCTGCCCAAAGTATGCAGGTGGTAGGCTAGAGGCTGCACCATTAATCATAGAGTAACTGCCACTCCAGGCACAAAAGTTATACAGGGAGGGCATGCTGGCCATGGTGGCACCCTTCCAGTTTCCTGGCTCTCCTGGAATGCCCCTGAATGCCTTGACCAGAGCTTCTCCAAAGCTTGCCACATCTACAGATGGCATCCTGACTCTGCCCACAGTGGGACTTGGCATCAGGTGGAAAACCCTCTACGATTCACTCCCAGCATAACTGCTGTCTCTCAGCCACCTTTGGGAAAGTCATTGGCAAGCTGTCATCATTGGCTGCCTGGTCTCCTCTCTCAGCCTTCAATTTCACACTGCCTAACCCTTGTGGAATCAATGGGGAGAACTCAGTTGTTTTTGTTACCCATTCTGTTACTGAACCAAACTTGGGTCTGCTCATTCGCATGCAGTAAAGTGACACTGACGCTAGGTTGTGGTGAAGGAAAGTGCAGCATTTATTGTAAGGTGTCAGTACAAGGAGAACAGGTGGCTCCTGCTCACCAAAGGGTTTCAGCAAAAGCATTTTTAAAGGCCTGGTGTGTGTGTGCGGGGATGTTGCAGGATATGTGATCAGTTCCTGCGTATTTCTCTGATTGGTTGATGGTGAGGTAACAGGGTGGTGTCACAGGGGTTAACATTATCAATTCTTAGGCACCAGTATGTCTGCAGGTTATGTGCTCGCGATCATCAAGTAGTTAATTTCTTCCATTTGGTGGTGGCTTTAGCATCTGTAAAACAACTCAGGAAATGTACATCAGATACTGTTACCTGGGTACTTCAGAGAGGCGCTACAGCAGAGGATATGGGGGAGGCGTCTGTCCCAGGAAGGCCCCATAAGGTCCTGCTCAGTTATAATCCGTCATGTCTTTTCTTGCATACCCTCATCTTTCTTTTCTTTCAGTCAGAGAAAGTGTCCCTGGTATGTTCTTCTCAGACAGTGCTTCAGGTCTCTCAAGGACTTCCTTGTATAGTTCTAGATATCTTAATTGTCTGCCTGTAGTGTTTAAACAAAAATTTGGTTTCTTAAGCAGTTTCCTTATTCCCCATATAAATTTTGGACACTATTAATTATGGTAGAAGGAGTGCTAAGAAACTGACATTTATGAAGCACGATTTTCTGTCAGGAATTCTCCTCGACAATATTCTTATCAAGATAAGAAGGAGCATTAAATCAAATGATATTTACAGTATCATTTCACTCACTAGGAGAGAGACACTCAACGAGGTGAAGCTACTAACCCTGTTTACACAACTGATAAATTAGGGTACAAAAAGTAAACCCAAGTCAGCTTCAGTCCAAACCCATGTTCTGGTCATTACAGCTGTGCTTCTGACACCTCGATGAGCACATGCATCACCTGGAAGTCTTGTTAAAATGTAAATCCTGAATCATAAGGTCAGGGGTGGGGCCCGAGATTCTGCATTTGTGATGAACTTCTAGGTAAGAAGAGGCCGTTAGTCTGCAGACCACGAGTTGAGTAATGAGGCTTAAAGTGCTCAGCTAAACTTTCCTTCACAGTATAAAGGCCATCCTCAGACCCATCCCTTCTAAATGCCACAAATCCCATGCCTTGAATCGAAACAAGTACATTCCGACTTGATGCTACACAGAAGGTATAGCATAGTATTTCCGAGAGTGTGCACCTAGGATCATCTGCACACAGTTTCCTGGAGTGCTAGTTGAATGCAACTTTCTGGCATCACTTCAGCCCCTCTGGACCAAAATCATGTGAGGCAGGACCTGGGAAGCTGCATTTATGACAAGCTCCCCAGGCTCTTGTAATTCACATTCAAGTTTGAGGAGAACTAGAGTAGCCTAAGTATCAAATGGTGGAAAGGCAAATGATGGTCATGGAGGCTTACTGAGAAAGTCCTGCAGACAAAGGAGCCTGAATGACATCTCCCCAAAGGCCAAAGGAACCTTTTTGTAAAAGTGGGTATAAAAAGTGGGATTAAAGCTGAAAAGATGGGTTGTAAAGTTTTAGACTTGGAAGAGGGCCAAGAGACTAGGTATTGAAGGACAAATCATCTAGGAGATCTCAAGAAGATTATCCTCTGCCCCTGATGAGGAAAGGTCACAGCATTTTTACCCTCTTGGATAGAAACTTGATGGATATTAAATATTGAATGGATACACACTTTAGATGCTCTCTTGGCCATGCCTGTGGAGAAGAATAGAAATAAACTTTAATTTGTAAAGCATTTTCACCATGTGTATTAACACCCATGACACAATCTGCTCTCATACATTGCCGCAGAGGGTGTATAAAGTCAAGGATTTCTCATTCCCAGCTCACAAGTGAACACACTGATTCTCAGGGAGTGGGGTGGTAATACCAGGACCAAACCTCTAGTCTCCAACATTGTGACTTGACTCTTCAACCAGTCCAAGAGCTCCCACACATGGCTGTGCATCAAAACCACTGAGAGGCCCTACCTGAGGCCTGCTGGGCCAGAACATTTGATGGGGCCTGGTAGTCTGTATTTTTAGAACAATACCACAGGGAGTTCTTATGCATTCAGTCAAGGAACTATGTTTGGGGACTCAACTAAATTATGTGGCATGGAAAGAGCTGTCTATGACTCAAAGATCATACGGAAAGAAAAGATGTAAAAGCATTAGGACCCTGGGACCCCTTCTGAAGACAGGGATTAACAGGCAAGTTTCAGAGTCTTACTTGCTTACAAGTACGGTTTCATAACTGCTGGAGGTGGAAGCTTTAGAGATTTTCCTTTGAAAAATTGGTCAAAAGAAAACATAGCTCAGAACTGTTTCATTAGCAAGTCCTTCAAGGTTAATGGAGAAATTTAAATGTCTATAACTATACGATATGGGGAAAGTCGCAGTGCTGCTGCGGTGCTGCATTTAGGATCAGCTCTCAGTTTAAGTCCTTACTAGCTATGTGGCTTTGCCTAAATCAACTAATCTCTAAGATCTTCAGCCACTTTCTCTCCAGAAAGTGAAAAAAGGTGGGAAAAGATGAGAAAAGATTAGCAAAAACATGTTACATGTAATCAGTGGTCTTTACGTATTAATTGGCATTGAATGTGAGGTTCCGGATCTGTGGGCTGGAAATAGAGATAGGGAGTAGGAGATTCCTGTGGCTTCTGGCAAGGTCCAAAGTAGCTCACATGCTAGGAAAGCCCTTCTGTCAGTGGGTCTGGACTTGCAAATTGACAGATGGGGCAGCGCACTTCGCAGTGGGATTGGGGAGTCTCCAGAAAGCTCCTCAGGGTTGCAGTGTCTGAAATTTTATCATTTTATCATTTAGAGACTGCTCCTCAGAACTTCTCTTCTTGTGCTTTGAAACATGAGACAGCCCTAATGAGCTAACTTTATTCTAAATTTTAATTGTCTGTTTTCTGACCGGAAGAACCACAAGAACATATACGTGGGGAGGGTGTGTGACATAGGGACACTGGAGAGAGGATGTGGCATGGGAGAAGGGGGCACAGGAAAGGGAGGTGAGGGGTCCTGAGGCCCCGTTCTGCCAGCTTCACAACGTTTCCCTCACCATAGACTTAAGCAACACCGTGGGGTGAGATGAAGTTCAGGCGCCCACTAGAGGTGAAAAGTTTGCTGCCAGAAGAACTCTGTCTGAAGCTGGCATCACTCTCCTCAGATGGAGCAGGCAGCCCATCTCAGGTAAGGGGGAACCTGTGTAATAAGAGCATCATTAAGAAGGAGGCAAAAGTTCCTTATCGGAGGACAGGAAATCCTTTTATTAGGAAGAAAAGGTGTTATTCATGTGAGACTAATCGGTGTTTTGAAGAAAACAGTCTCATTGTAGAGCGTGTTTGCTCATAGATGGCTAACCAGGAAATCTACTGTAGCTCTCACTGATTTCCCTGATTCCACCCTGCCTTATGGGAAACATCCACTACAGGAGGAAAGATACGGGGGGGGGGGGGGGGGGGGGGGGCCCTGGGGGGAAAGCGTTCTACTGCACCGGAGTTGCGCTTAACGCTTTTCCTTTTTCAGAGATTAGCTGTCCAGTCTTCAGAGGTCACTTTTCTCCTCTCCTCCCCAGGGCCCAGGTTGAGTGTAA